TATTTTGTAGGAGAAGACTATTGTAAACAATAACTTGGTGGCTATTTCAGAAATTGATTATGTAGCTGAGACTAGCCATTTATGTGAAAAAATAAATGAATTAGAAAAATTGTAGTTTTCTTTTTATATGTTGTTGATGGGTGTTTTTTACTTTATGGATTTAATTTTTTAATTCGAAATAAAATTTATTATTGCTAATTTTAATACGTATAATCATTTAAGTGATTAATGTACGTGAGTGATTAACAACGTTTTTCAATTAAATATTATACGCAATCGAAAGTATTACCTCTTTTCCCCCTCTTGTGAGATTTAATCTAAATAAATCATAAATAATAAATCATTTTTAATTATAAATTCATTATAGTCTTCATATCCAATGTTAATTATTATTCTATATTATTCTAACAAAGCAGTAAATTCCATTTCATAAGGTTCAATATCACCGAAATCTACTTGCTCTATTTATAATATTTTCAGTGACAATCAATGATTAAATTTCTCTAATGCATTATTATTAGGATCTTGTGAATCCTAATACTTTAAATGAAGATTGCAAATCATTAACAAAAGATAATAACAAAGTTTTTTTTTGTCAATTTATGAAACTTTAAATTCCCCAAAATCCAAATGAAACTCTTCGAAATCACCACCTTCTATACAGATACGCCCCAAAATTTGATATTTCTCTAGCAACAGTGATAGGAATTTTCAAAGAATGTAAATGTCTTAAAAGATTAGTAGGTTTCTTCAATTGCGAGGAAAGACATTCCAAAATATTTCATTTGGCAGCAAAAGGAAACTTGCCAAAATTGGAGGTGTTGGCGATTGCTTTTTATGATAAGTTTTCATCTGACGTTATAAATAGGAATGATTAAAACTCGCACACACAACACTTTGAAAAGGGTTTCTTTGCATATGACAACTCCAGATAATGGCATTATTCATGTTAAATCCATCCATTTTTACTTCTGTGTAAACAAACAACTTTATAATTTTCCAGCAATATTATAATTAGTATTAGGAAAATATTAATATTAAGCAAAATTGAAATCTTATTATTATTATTATTATTATCATCATCATCAGTTATTTTTTTACCTAATCTGGAGTCTTCTGGGAACGTACACTTAATTTTAAATTAATGCACGAATTTATTTTTTTACCCTTACATTTTTCATTAAAAAACTTTCAATCAATTCTTTTATAAAAATGGAAGAAGAAAACGATAACGATGATTGTATAAAAGTAGTGACAGTTAAAGATGAAATATCAGAAAATAATATTAAAAACCAACTACAAATTATATGGATGTTGTTGATGCTATCGGACAACAAATTATAGTTAATGCACATAATAGATGTCCCATCGATGAAATAAAGTATAGTCCTAATCATAAATTTTTAGTAAACCATAGTAAAAAAGATGAATCTATTACTGGATGGACAGTTAACCTTGACCAAGGAACAATTCAACGAGATAGCCAAGATAACTATTTTAAAACTAGGTCATGTATAATAGATGTTTCAGATGATAAATATATGCTTCTTCTTGTATGAAGTAGTTATTATAGTAAGTAAATATGATTATTTATTATGAATATCATATTTATAAGCAATAATAATAATATAATTTGTATCATTTAAAACTAATTTTATAGAATTACAATTATTTGACTTTTCAAAAAAAAAATTTATTATTATTATCCATTTGATAGTAAATTTGGAGGTTTCATTACAAATGATGATTTAAGAAGAGATTGTATTGTTTATACCATATTCAGATATAAGTAATGTTAATAATGAAAATGATAAGTTAAGATGGTTCATAAATCAACATATTGCATTTACAATTACAGTTATTATAATTATTATAACTCACACACAGATTATTTTGTAAATTTGATTATCTTCTATTAATTGATAAGTTTTCGTTATTATCACTATGGAATCTAACAACTATATCATATCAATATAGTTGTTATTTAATATGTAGAAAGGATCATAATGATATAGTATTTAATCAAGACAAAACAATAATGGTATTATATAATGTAAGTATTATTTAGCCTCCTTTTTTTTTTATTATTATTTGTTTATTTATTTATATACTATGTATATTTCTTTCTTTTTTATCTTACAGTTGGATTGGAAAAAAATACCACTGTTAAAAATTAGATTTTGTGGTTATAAAAAGTCAATTAGAATGTTTATTATATGATATAAATACAAATAATTACATTTATAAATTAATGGATCCTTATGATTTAGGTAGAAAATACATATGAAGATAAAAATGATATCATATTTGGACCAATCATATCAGATAATGAAATAGTCATGGCTATTAACAATCAAATTTACATTAAAGAAATTATTAACAAAGAAAAATTAGACACTGTTCAACAAATATGTATAAAAAATAGGTATCATTTATATTTACATATAGGACAAACATTATCTGAAATACATGAAATACTTGAGGATTATGAAAAAAGAGAAATTGGTTTTAAAACAGGAAAAACTATATATTAAATGGTCAGTAGAGTATGATCATGCTTTACAAAATACCAATATAAAAGCTCAAAAATTGATAATGAAATAAAAGAGGAACCTCTAATAATTGGTGAATATTGTCTCAAGACTTCAGAAAGATTTAAATATTGTAAATTACTAAATAATGATGATTTAATTTTAATAACAAGCACATATATATATATTTTGTCATTTAATAATCAACATTATAAAATAGTTATAAAGTATATTATTAAAGAAGAATATAGTTACATAGGAGGACTTTGTATTAACATGATTTACAATGAAAAAGAAATATCAAGAAAAATTAAAGCAGCTATAGAAAATAATAATATTGAAGACTATTTATTTAATTTTAATGATGCTACTCAATATGATTATTCCAGGCAACCTTATAAAGAAATGATTTTATATATGTTGGATGATTTATATAATTTCAAATATGGAGAAAGATTTTTAGGATTAGCATTAAATGTAAATGATAGCATTGTTTAGAAAAATTATTTGATTCCTGTTTTAAATATTTTAAAAAGGATGCTGCAACAAATATGAGCTTATTAAAAATAATTATATCAGAATCACCAAGATTATAAAAAAATTATCAAAAATTATCAAAATTATTTAATCAAACTTCAATGATTATTTTCCACTTAATGATGGCATTTATCACGAAGAAATTTTTTATAATGCAATGGTTAATGAAAATTTTATTTATAAGATAAAAGGCTTTTGGGATTTTTTAAGTTCAAAAAATTTAGGATATTTGGAAATTTTAGGTTTTTACACAAAAATCATAATAAAGATAATACTAAACATTGTGTAAAATTGATGATTTCATATCCTAGATTACTTACATACAAACCCAAATATTCACTATTACTATTGAAAGAATTACTATATAAGCCAGATAATATATATTTGTTGAATTAGTTGAATTGGATACTTTAGAATTATACAAGCATTTGAATAGTGAACTAATTTTGGAATACTTTTGGATTTGGATATGATATTGGAATATTGATTTTTTACATAGTATTTTTATCAAGCTTTGTTATTGCAACTTCCACTTCACCAAATCAATTATCTTATAATAATAGGAATTTATTATTAACCACAACAATTGTCCTTGGGGAAATTCATCTCACAATAGAAGCCAAACAATTTATCTGGAAACTATTAAAATATATCACAAATTTCTGGAATTACTTTGGTATGATGTTACTTTATCATTATCATTTTATTATTTGTTAATTAATTAATTATTGTTTATTTAATTAATAGACCTAGGTGCCTGTTCCTTAGCAATTATTACTTCAATTCTATGGTTACATTATAATATTCCACCACCACAAAGTACTTTTATAAGATTTCTAAATTTTTTGTAATTACCAGGTTATGTTACAATAATTATTGAAATTATGGAATTATATACAATTATTTATATACAATATATGTATATTTAAATAATTTGCTTTTCTCCAAGATAACGTGATTTTATCATTAATAGAATAAAAAAACAGCATTTATGCTTTAGATTTGAGGCATCTGATAATTTTTGACAATTGAATTTTATTTAACTAAGTTACATTTTTAATTTTTAAAAAGTTGTTGGAAAGTTTTAGCTGCCTTTGCTATTCCTGAAAAAAGTCGATTGTCAGTAATTGCCTTAACAGTGTATGCAAGATTTAAAACTTCTTCACTGGTTCTTTTTTGATTTTAGGAAAGGATAAAGTCGCAGGAAGATGGCGAAATTCAAAAATTTACTCAAGTTGTCAAAATCGAAAGGTCTAGCGAAATTTGAAACTAAAATCAAAATCAAAAATCGGAACTGAAATTGAAATTAATTTATTAATTTACATGAAATCAAATGATTTTATTATTAAATCATATTGAATAAAAGTTATTATATATGTATCTTCAAATCATAATCCATTGTTTCAATTCTTCTTTCTGAAGTACTTTCATTAATGACAGTATTTTTCATTTGTACCAAAAATTGGATCTTTAAATTTTTGTTAAAGATAAATTATAATCAGTGTTTGACTATTTTTACTTTTGCAATTTTCAATAAAAACTTACAAAGTGAACATAAAATTATATATATATAGGGATAACTGATAACCATTATGTTTATGACCATTGTATTTGTTATTTTTTAAAAATTCAAAGTTAAAAAACCAATATAGATTTCTTTTATCACGAATTTTTATAGATGTGGCTCACATGTGCATAATTAGATATCCACCCCTCCCAGTTTCCGCAGAGACATAACAAAAACTAAAGCTCTAATCTCCATAAATCCCAATACATACTGGAATCAGAATCGTCTATTTTTGCCAATGTTGCATCCAGCCAAATCTCTGATATTACCAATATTAATATAATGCCTTTTTCTTGTGAAACATAAAAATTTATAAATAGGGCAAAAAAAAAAAAAAATTTCAAATAAAATCAAAATGTTGATAGCTGAAAAATTTAAACGTGATGAATTTTCTTTTTTACAACAAGTCGTACACATTTTAGATAAAGTTGAATCTAGTCAAGATCCTCAAGAAGTTAAAATTATTGTATAATATTATTATTATTATTAATTTCATAAAATTGTTTTTTAAAAAAGCTATTAACAAAATTGTCTCTACCATGACAAAAAAATATTAAAAGGTGAATAAACTTAATGATAGATTTAAAAGATGTCATAGAATACTAGATGAATTACCCGGTTCAGATTTATCAAGAGAAGAACAAGAGCAATTACTTAAAGAAGAAAAGGCAATTTTAGAAGAAAGAAAGTAATTCATTTATTTTTATTAAATTTTTATTTTGAATTATCTATTCTTTTTATAACATTTATATTTATTTATTAAAATAAATAAAGAGCAGCAAGACATAGATATGAAAATCTTGAATTTTTAAAATCACCATAATGAATTTTTAGTGTAAAAATATTTAATAGAAAAATAAACCTCTTTTTGCACTTGAGCTTTTCCCAATAAAATTATTGACTTAATAATTTAGTAGTTTCACAAGAGTGCACGCCCGGACGTATATATCAATTTCAAACTATACTAAAAAATTGCTTATAGAATTATTGCATCTTTACAGTAATAAGAATTGGGTAAGTTTTATTTTTTTAATGTTGTTGTTTTACCTTAACCGATTGTGAATGCTACCTTTTGAGAGCACATTTGCAATTTCTTTTTTTTTTTTTGAATCAAGATTTTAAAACATTATATTATTTCACTATTTTTCTACTTTTGTATTTGCTATGAATACACTCAATTTGATACTTTTACTCACATCTGATTTTTATTAATATTAAAGAGCTTTTTTTAATAACTCATCAGGACTCGCATTTCTTACCTAAATAGTATTGCAAATTGTAAAATGGCAAGTATGAACCAAGACAAGTGAATAAGCTTCTAATAACCATTATCTAAATAAAAAATTTCTGCTTGACCTAGAAGTTGACAGAGTATGAAGCACCGATCGTGACTAATAATTTCTAATCATCCTTTGTTGGTTATATAAATTGAACAAATAATACAAAGTAATATATATTTTAACTTATATAGTCCGAGATACAAATGCCTAATTACTCAATAAGTCTTTGCCTTTTATTTTAATGACGAATCTTTTCCTTGTGGTTTTTTCTGTATGTATATACAAAAAAAAATCAACAGATAAACGGATCTGCACTAGTGATAATCATGATCTGACAAAAAAATTTACATTAATAATAGTAATGACCTCGAAAACATTTATAGTGACAGGAGCTTCGAGAGGAATTGGTAGATCAGCAACACTTTTCATGGTAAAAAATTTTCAAAATAATATATTAGCAATATCACGTTCAAAGGATGATTTGGCGAATTTGAAACAGCATGTTGAAGTGGATTTAAATTTAAAAGATAAATTAGAAATTGTGGTTGGAGATGTTGCAGAAGAAGCTATTATTGATGAGGCGATCAATAAATGTCTAAATAAATGGAAACGAATTGATGGAGTTGTTTCTAATGCAGGGTGATAAATAATTGAATGATTGATTATATTATTTGTCTCGAGTTTTATTGATTTCATTGATTGATTAAATTTATCATTATTATTGTCTTCATTTCTATGCAGTGTTATTGAGCCACTTGGTAAAATTTTTGACACAAATTTAGAAGATTGGAAAAGGTATGGTGGGTTTTATTTTATATTTTATCCCTCCAACTAAAGCTGGCATCTGTAACTGATTCGAAATTCTGCAACTGAATACAACTTGTGCTGCAACATTTATACAGCTAAATTCTGCAATCGATTGCAACCTCTTAATTACAGACACCAATTTACCCCAAATAATAATTATTTAATTATTAATTTAATAATAATTAATATTAATTATAGATGCTTTGATGTGAATTTCTTTTCGAACGTATTATTAATTCAAAAGATTTTACCTCATTTACGCGATACAATTAAAAATGGAGGAAATGGTGGCAATATAATTTTCACTTCATCTGGTGCTGCTGTGAAAGCTTGTTATGGTTGGGGAGCATATTGTTCGTAAGTTTATATTAATATGGCTTAAACTTATTATATCAATGCTGATATACAAGCGATATTTATTATATACATTACAAATATATTACAAATACGTACATACATTTTAATAATTAGATCGAAAACAGCTTTAAATATGTTGGTTAAAACTTTGTCGATTGAGGAAGATATTATCACATCGATTGCAATTAGACCAGGTGTAGTAAACACTGCAATGCAAAAATTTATCAGAGAGAAAGGTAAGAAATCAATTTATTCTTTTGAGTAGATAAAAAAAAAAAAATGGAAAAAAGAAATTATTATTAAAACAAAAACAACAACTACTATAATTATAACGAAAAATTTTTTTAGGTGATAATACTATGTCCAAAAATGATCATGAAAATTATATAAAATTATATGAAGATAATGAATTATTATCACCTGATGAACCGGGATATGTTATATCTTCATTAATTAATGGTAACAAAAATGAGATTCATAAGTTCAGTGGAAGATTTATTAGTTGGAATGATGAAGCGTTAAATAATTTTAACAACAAATAGTTAACATTTTATTGTAAAACAATTTTTGTTTTTGAAAAAAAAAACCCAAAAATAAATGTATTTGTATTTTGTATAAAAAATTTTATTAATAAGAAAAAAAATAGAAAAAAAGAAACAATTTTAATAATAATAATAATAACAATAACAACAACAACGATAAACAAAAAAAAACATTAAATTAAATTTTTATAGCTATTAAATAGCTGCTAAACTAATTTGTTGAAGAAAGAGAAGGATTTGTTGATTGTTAATAATTCGATGTTCCCAGTGGTTAGCTAACTGGTATTGTAGAATTGTCATTATCATCATTGCCATTGCCACTGCTACTAAGATTACTATCACTATCATTATTATTTGTATTTTTTGGCAAAGGTTCCCATGCCTTGAGTTTAAACCTGGGACTTTTAAATGTTTGAATCATTTTGCTGGCTTCCTTGGAATTTTTAAAGATTGCAAGAACTGTAGGTTGCCGTTTATTTGATCCATCGTTCATCTTTGGAGAATTATCAATACGTTTAATAGTTGCATTCGTCAATGTAATACCTGTTAAATTGTCTGATACTGCAAAATCATAAAGTTCAAGTATATGACTTGGTTTTGGCGGTTGTTCATTAGCTAAATATTAAAAATAATAAATTAAATACTATTTTTTTATTTTTTTATTATTATCACTATAAAAAAATTATTTTAATGTTAATGTTGTTAATACTTATTGTTGGTACCTTGATTAGGTTTAATTCCTTCGTATGGTACTTGTAAAGTGTAATCAAACAAAAGCGAGCTTTCTTTCTTTTTATTATTATTGTTATGATTATTGTTATTGTTGTTGTTGTTAGTGCTATTATTATTGAATGGAGGAGTAGATGAAGCTTGATTTTGGTGATGGATACGATTTTGTTGGTGACTATTTGAAGAAAGATTAAGCGATCTTATCATACTACCGTCAAGTATTGAATTAGCATTAATGCTATTAATGCTATCAATATTGTTATTATTATTGTTAATATAATTGATATTGTTTTTATGATTTTTATTTTTATTATTGTTTTTATCATTATTATTGTTGTTGTTGTTATTATGATTATTATCATTACTATTTTGTTTTTTACGTGAATGATTATTATTGGAATTTGTATTTTGAGATAATATTGTCATATTAGGAATATTAGTACCAACTTTATTGCCAACTTGATCCCCAACCCAATTAGAAGTAAATTTATTTAAAAGCGATGATGATATCTGTGGAGTTGCTGATCTTGATGAATTGGTATTTGAAGAATTAACGATAAAACCTGTTGATAATGGTGATGCTACTGTTGATGATAACGATGATTGTGGTGGTGGATTGTTTGGATCAAATAATTCTGTTGACTTCGGTGGTCTGATTGCACCAATATTTGCCGGATGTGGTTGTAGTTGCAATGATGTTTGTTGAGGTGGAAATCCCATCATTGGATGTGGAACTAAACCCATATGTTGATAATTTACAGGTATTTGTTGTTGTTGATGCTGTTGTTGATTATTATTACTGTTATTGTTATGACGTGGAGATAGATTTGACATTTGTTGTGGTCCCATTAAACCTGGAAACATAAATGGTGGCATTAATGAAATTGGTTTATTTTCATGAATAGGAGTAGTTATTGGTTTGTTTAGACTATAATTATTACTGTTGTTGCCGTTATTATTGTTGTTATTATTATTACTATTACTATTATTATTTCCTTCACTTCCACCGCCAGGTTGTGTAGAAATAGATGGATTAATGATATGATTTGAATTTGAAAATGTAGGGGCGTGAGATTGAACATAAGGAGATGGTGCTCGATATTGATTCATATGTTTCATGTAAGGGCTTGAAATGAAATGGTTAGGATGTATATCATGTGGCAGCATGGCTTGCTGTAGAGGAAACATGTTGCTATTAATATCATACATGTTCACATGTGGTGGTGGTGGTGGTGGTTGTGGTGGATGGCCGAAAGATCCCTGCATAATTGGAAGAGGACCAGAAGAAAAATTGTTCATGGGATGATGTCCTTGTTTTGACATATTGTAAAATTGTCTATCTATTAAGGGACTATTATAATTATACATTTGGAGATGGGAGGATTGTTGTTGTTGTTGTTGTTTTTGCTGTTGTAGTTGTAGTAGTTGCTGTTGCTGCTGCTGTTGCTGCTGCTGTTGTTGCTGCTGCTGTTGCTGCTGCTGCTGTTGTTGTTGTTGCTGCTGTTGCTGCTGCTGTTGTTGTTTATTTTTTGAATTAATTCCATTATTTTTATTTGGAGAATTCTTATTATTTTTATTTTGTTGCTGCTGCTGCTGCTGCTGTTGTTGTTGTTGTGAATTTTTATTATTGTTTTGTTTATTTTGATTATTGCTATTTTTATTTGATTTTTGATTCGTCTTTTGTTTATTAGGAAATGATGGATTACCATTAGTTGCCTCATTACTTTTTATATTATTATTATTATTATTATTATTATTATTATTATTAAGATTATTATTACTACTATTGTCTTTAATACAACTAGAATTTAGAACTATTGAATCTTCATTATTTTCTTCCAGTTGACCGTTCATAACATTTGGTTGATCGAGATCTTTAAATATTCTTGCTCTAGCTTTTAAATAGGCTGCCTCTCTTTCTTCCTGGCAATATTCTGACTTCATGCTGAACTGGTCCAGGAAATAGGCTCATTAGTAACGAAGCTAATGAATCCATTTATAATTGTGTCGTAGTCCCCAAATTAAAAACTATTGTTCTATATAGCTGGATCAAAACAGCCAAAGATTATTAATATTTGGTGGATAAACGAATTAATAAAATCAATCGTCCACTAATATATAAGTATTTACTGAAGCATCTTGGTAATCTGATTTATTTGATGAAAGAAAGATTAAAAGAATTAGCTCTCTCGATAATTTTATTCCGAATCTCTAAATAAATTGGTTTCAACACAACGCTTTGTTAATTATGCAAAAACATTTAATAACGATGTTTTGTGGCGGTGGTGATATTGATATAGAGTAATTGGGCTGAAAAGTTATAATTTTTTGAATTTTATAATAATAAATAATTAAAAACGTCTATGATAATCAGCAAGAATTATTATAATTAATTATTTTAAAAAAAGTGATTTTTTTAAGAAAAACGCGATGGTTGTTTTTTTTGGACACGTGAATCCATTCTTGCAACATAGAAAATATAAATATTGTCCGGCAAGCCAGATTTGAACTAGCGACCTAGAGATTACAGGTTCTTGTACTACAGTCTCCCGCTCTACCAACTGAGCTATTGCCGGGGAATCATGAAAAAATTAATTTAATCAAATAAATATAGAATTAGACAAAAATTAATATTTAACGATTTACAACATATATTTATAAATCAAATTAAAATGATATTGATGTTCATGTGTTTCAATGTTTCCTACAAGCAAGACAATTTTTAAAGGTTTATTTGTATAATGAATATTGATCGATGGTCATTCTTGCAGCCTTTACGCAAAACACTTTTCATAACCTAAAACTGTTTACATCTAGAAAATTTTGATATTTCTTCCTTTAATAAAAGGTCAGTAGTAACTTTTATTGTTGCATTTGTATATTGTTGGTTATTAATGAAGAATGTTGTATGAAAACTTTTGATATTATCAAAGGTTATATGCTATTATTCAATCTTTATAATTTATCAGGCTGCTTATAATGCGTTGTAGAATACAATTTGAGGCATTTCAGCCGATTATTCATTGTTAAAAACAATTTTTTGGAAAATAAAAAATATAATTTGACAATTTTACCTTGGCGATTTGTTATTATTTATGGCAAGTGTCTTTTGTTCGTGTCAATACACAAAAACTTTACACAGAAAAATAGATGAATATTTTTTAAAAATCTTTATTGGAAAAATTTTTATAGAAAACCTTTGACATATCGTTATATACAAATTGGCTGACATTTGGGTAATCTACAAGTGAAAATGAAGTCAATTGTCTGTATATATTTTGTGTATGTTAGTGGTATATATATAAAATCACAAAAGGGTTCCAAGATATTTATCAGATATTGTTTATATAACGTGTTTTTTGATATAATTTTTAAACATTATGCATGTAATTTCCAATTAAAACACCAGCTGCCCCGATCACAAATCCAACTGTTGCTGAAACAAACGCATCAAGCCTTCTACGTTTAGATTCAGCAGCGCCATCTGCTTCTTTTGCTTCTGATTCTTTTAATCTATTTCGAAGTACTATCAATTCCATCTTATTTGCCTCATCATTATCATCTATATCATCATGTTTACGCTTATGACTAGTGTTCAATGTAACGGAGAGTTCTTTTGATTCTTGGCTCAGAAAAGATGGACCTTCGCCATTAATATCAGGATTTTCATTAATATTTTTGTATTCGGAATCAATAGTTTCACCAAGTGAAATATACATTTGATTGGAGTCTTGCTCAATTTGTGAAGATATACGTTCTTGTGCAAAAATGTCAAGCGGGGATTTGTTTATATTGGCTGTGCTTTCGTTTTTGGTCGATGTTTTAGTTACAGGGGAGACAGAATAATGATCTGGGGTGAATGCTGGTGTAACGGGTTTATCTGGACTTTCAAACTCTAGTTTGTCATTAATTCCTGATGATGATGATGATGATGACGATGATGATGCTTCATTGATGTCAGCGTGTGTGCTTTTTTGTTTGTTCATTTGTTCTTTTTCATTAACAAGATATTTTGTTAAATCACTTTCTTCAGTTGGAGAGGGTTCCATTACTTTTTTAAAAAAGATTTGTCTTTAATCATTATCATCATCCATCTTAACATCAATAATGAACGACTTATTTATTATTTACCTTTTTCAATCCTTTCTCGAACTTCGACATTAGAAACAATCATTTTTTCACCTTTAAATTTAGAAATTAAATATTAATTAAAAAAATAAAGAATTTTAAATATAACATTAGAAACATGTATGCATGCACTTACAATAATCCTTTTTGTCGGCACTTTTTTTAATTTGAGGATCAATCAAGGACGATGTGGAACTTTCTCCTACATCAACGGTACCTTGTTTTTCCTGATTACTAATAAATAATCAAATAAAACTAAAATTCAATATTTCCTTTGATAAAAAACTATTTTTATTATTTTATTATTATTAATTATTACCCGTCATTAATAATTATCGACTGTTTTGTTATAGAAGTGGATTCTGCAATTGCACGATATTTAGTAGTATTATCCTTCTTAGCTCTCTGTTTAGATGGCTCTCCAAGATCTTCGACATTATCAGAAGAAATGCCTGCGACTTTTATACCGCTCGAAATTGGCTCGTTGTTGAAATCATTGATATTTGTCATTTTTTTTGGAAAGAAAACACGTGCAGATAAATGTTGATATAAATCTATAAATTAATTAAGAAAAAAAAAATTTTTTTTAATCAATTAATGTTATATGAATAATTATAAAACATTAAAGGGTCGAGCAAAAATTAAGCATACTTTGATTACGTCTGACATTATGACCAAATGTAATTACATCATTCTGCTTCAATACTTTCCAGTCGCTATCTTCCGATCCATCTCCCAATTTTATGCCATTAATATAAGTTCCATGAGTGCTTTTTAAATCCTTTAACATAATCTAAATATTCAATAATCGTATTAAAACTACTTGCGTCATAATAAAGTAAAGTAACAATAATATAATAATTTAACAATATACCTGTCCACCATCTTCTTTTAACACCGCATGTTCTCTTGACATCACTTCACAAGTAAACACACCATTATCTGTCCTTGATTCTCTTTGATTTCTACTACCACTAACTCTACCAATTTTTATTTCTTGTGCAGATGTGAATCTCAATTGTTTTGTTGCAAAAGTAGTAGAATCATTCAAGGGTACCAGGTGCATATGAACAACAGTTTGATTTTCAGACGAACTAGGAATAGATTGTGGTTTAGAATTTGTTGAAACATTGTCTATTTCAGTGTGTTCTGGATCAGTAAAGTTTATAAAGTTGCTACGTGGCGTTGTTCTCAGCATTTTTTTTTTATTTTTGTTTGAAGTTATAGATTCCGTGTAACATCACATTGGTGCCTTTTTAATATGTATATACAAGGGAGCCAAGCTGTAACACAGATTTTTTTATCATCTCCTAAAACAATACGATTTGTATAATAATTATCTTTAGATTAAAAATGAAATGTCAAGAAGATTTAAAGCAATATATAGAAGTACTGAATTTATTTTCTGATCCACCTAACGTGAAAATGCAAGACAAAATTTCTCTTGGCATACTCTACAACATCTGTTACTATTTATCGCCTCAAGATATTTCAATGTTGATGTGTGTTTGTAAACATTTTAAAATTATGCTAGGTGAAAAGTATTTTCCAATGGCCAGAATTATTTGGAAGCATTCGCGCGAAACCTTCACTCCATTCAAACATATGGATCCACCTTTTGATTTAACAGAAAAACAATTTGCCATGATTTTGAATTTTCAAAAGGGTTGTCAGATTTGTAAAAGAAAAGACAAAACTATTCAAATTTATTGGGTTGATTTTATAAGATCTTGTAAAGATTGTTTGCAATACATGGCTAAAAGGTAATAATAACAAGCAATAATATTTAGTCATCATTATTATTCGTCATGATGTAAATATTAATCTTATCTCATTTATTTATTAAACAAGTCGAAAACAATTGCTGGATTGTGAGTGGGCGAGAAATGAATGTGTGATTGACTGTACACCATATGTAATACCATATTTAGATACCACAAAAACAAAATACTATTTACCCACCCAAATAATGAAAACACAAGCTGAATATGATAGTTTACTTTTCTCTAATCAAAATTTATGGGTAGCAAAAAAAAAACTAGAAGCTGAACAATTTGTAGATCAATCACTTATTCTTTTTGAATGGGTTAACGAATGTTTGAAAGTGCAGCACAACATCCAATTAACAAACCTGGGTTTTATCATATCACGAGTCTGTAATAAATTTCCTTCTTATACAATGGATCAATTTGAAAAGCATCCTTTAACTTTGAAAGTAAAAAAACTTGTTTCTTCAAATCCATGTATAAAAATTGATTGGCAAAAATTTGAAATTGAATTAATTGATTCAATCGAATCATACAATGACAACGATTAAAAGTTTTGTGTGTATGTGGATTTACTATTGGTTATTAATAAGATGTTGGCAAATCTTTTTCTTTCCTGTGTTTTATTATATGGGCTATCTTTAAAAGGCTTCAGAGACTCATAAAAATATGTAAATTGGTAGAGATATTGATCAAAAGAATAAAGTTACAGAAAAAATTTTTGGAAAATGAAGCCAAAAAAGTAAATGTCGTTTTTTATATATTACTATCAATAATTGTAATTTTACGTGATTTTTATTAATTTTTTGTATTAATTATGTTCACAAAATTTCCGGCAAAATCATGCCAAATCACGTGACGTATAGATTTTGAACGTCTATACTACCAAGGATTTCAGTAATTAAAACTATTTGATATCACCATTGTACTATTAACATGATATTAATATCTCATTCGTTATTCTTGTTTTTCTTTAATATATAAAATCTATTCCTATATATGGGCATACTGTAACGAAACAAGATAAAGTGTAATGCGGAATTATAAGGTTCAAATTAATCTACCAGTATGACACATAAAGACACTTGTCGTCGATGATTGGGCTGGTAGCTATCATTGCTGCAAATAGATTCAAGATTTAATATAATTAGGGTCTGGGCCACTTTACCAACACCCACTTCACCGACAGGACACTTCGCCGACAACAAACAGAGTTACTTTTAACCTCCACACAATCAAAAATGTTAAAATATCACATCGCGTGTTGTCGGTAGACTGGACGGGGCCCTATAATTATTTTCATTAGTATTGTTAGTCATATTCGTCAAGAGAACTAAAATAAAATTCGCAATTATTTGCGACAGCCATAAATATTTTATAATGGTAACTATCAAGGGTAACTATTATATGATAGTTACCACCGCTGCAAATATCTAATTGTGGCAGGTGTCTAAACAACATATAGTTAATAATAGAATAAACCCATTACGAGTTTTTGCATAGTTGAAGAATAAAAGCCATGGAATATAAGTGGACACAATAAATCAGGAGTCTTTTATCCAGACTAGGGATTGTAAGATAAAAGAAGCATCAACTATAATTCGGGGCAAGTAAGACCTAGCCATATGCCAGAAATAAGGACTATCTAGTAAGTAAGTAACTCTGATTGCATGTTTGCAATATCTTGAAGATATTTAGCTTCCTTTGAAGCATAGTGTAAATCAATCAGTTCATATGTTTCAGGTTTATGTAATATTTTCTGGCCAACAGACAAGAAATGTACTATCCATTTTTAAGTCTCTTGTTCCATACTAATACAACTGCCCAAATCTCTTGGATTTCCAAGTGGTATCATTGCTATCTTTTTCTTAATTTCAACTGATCCATAAGAAAAGATAGATCTCTAATGGTCATGTTGCTTTTTTATCTTCTGACACTTCTTATAGTTATTTAATATTAATAATAATATATCATGACAAAGAATCTCACAATAATTGCCAATCACTATGCCATGTAAAAGACCATAAACATTGCTCCACATTTATGTAGATTAATGCTGTAAACGTTCAAATAATTATCACTTAATTATTTAAACAATGTTAATGAACAGATAATTTAATTGTTGTTAAATTAAAAAGTTATCTTTATTTTATTCGAATTTTGATTCTTTAAATAATAAAATTACAATTCTTAAAATACAAATATAGATCATGAAAGAAATAAAGAAATAAATAAAATTATAATCTCTATATTGTATGGAAGCTTATAGACTTCCCGGAAAGTATTAATCTTAAAAGATAACATTCATAATAAATATAATATAATAATAATAATAAAAATAATAATAATATAATAATCATTATACACCATCGCCAAAACTCCTAATAAAAATATCAATAATTCAAGGAAAAATATTATTCATAATTCTTCAAAGTAAAACGCAATAATCCCGATTGCCAAATTAGTAATAGCGAATTTAAACAAAATGAATTTTTCTACATTACCAGATATGGTATGGATTAATTGCCTAATTTCGACTAGAATTATTTTACCGATCAATCAAGATTAAAGATTGTTACACAAGTGCTGTAGCTCGGGAGTTCCTTCAGGCAAATATGCCCGAAGTTATTGGCTGGCCATCTAACAGCCCTGACATCAATCACATAGAAAATCTTTGGAGCATAGTTAAGACCAATGTAGAAAGGTGACGACCAAAAAATCTCACCAAATTAAAGTGTTTTATGATTGAGGAGTGGGAGAGTATTCCGGATTCTGTTATAAAAAATTTGATAGGCTCAATGAAGAGATGTTGCGAAGCGATTATTGAAAGAAATGGCGAACAAATTCCTTTTTAATTTTTATAATAAAATCAATTCATTTCAAGTTTTAAATGAGCTATTTTATAAGTGATTTGCTTTGTTGGTTGTAAAGTTATTGTAATATTACCGAAGGCAAAATTTTTTGTCCCACACTGTATATCAGAGACTAGATTGCCTCCTAAATCAGCAAAATATTGCTACCCATTTCCCAAAGATTATCATGGATGGTGGGACTGTGATCCTGATCATCCCAACAGTGCAGGTGTTGGCTTAATACTTTCACCTTTCCTAACAAAACATGTCCAAAAAATCACATCATCAAAAGGAAGATACATAGTTGCAGATTTACTTTTCCCCAATCGAATCAAGCTTCAAATTATCCAAGTATATTCACCAGCAGCCTCAGATCCCAACATACTAACTCCAGTTCATAATCAACTAATCTCATTCATCAATCAAAGCCTGCAAAATAATTTCTCTTTAATTATAATGGGTGATTTCAACTCAGATCCTGTGAATGTTCACCCTATAATTACATCATCAAGATCATGTCCAATAAAATACAAAGTAACATATCACCTTATGTCAAAAAATTTCTTAGATATTGCATCACTCTTTTCTGACAATCCACAACATACATGGTCTAATGGTATCCAATCATCAAGAATTGATCAAATTTGGATATCACCATCATTATCACTTACACCAATCTCATTCAAAACAATTGATATTACTCCTTTTACAATGCTGATCATAAATTAATTATATGTTCATTTGAGATATCTAACTTAACTTCACAACCAACAACACATTCCATAAAAACCAATACATGTTCACGACAAATATTTAACTATTCAGCAACTACTTTTGAACAATGGACAAAGTTTGCAAACAAAATAGGCCTAATGATTGAAAGATCAAAATTAAAATTTCTAATTCAACAGCCCAAATCTTTGAACAACATAAATTCAATTTGGCAAGAATTCTCCAAAATCATTATATCTGCAGCAAATGAAACCCTCCCTACAAAAAAAGTTTCACCACATGCTACTCCTCACTGACTATTAGTCAACACCTCATTATTCAAACAACTTTGTAAAATCACACATCTCCTTTCTTCATTACATTCATTTAAACAATCTACTCCATTGCCAATAAAATGGCATACAACATTTTGCTCAGTTAAAACCATTGCTTCCTTACATAACTACACATTCCCTAGTTTTATACTTTTCAACACAGAAGTTCTTGAAAATATTATAAATTTGACTAAAACTTTTGAACATTCACTTTGACAAATCTGTCTCATAAAAGAACGGGACTTCATCAACAAACAAATCACTGAAAATATCAAAAAACATTGTAATAACATGAAAGACAACCTCTCAAGTATGCTCTCATCAATTCTTGAAAAACCTTACAGACGTATCGACCTTAAGAAAATCTTGATTACTCTACCTGATGGATCTCAACATATATCCTCAGATCCAGACACTGTGAAATCTCATACAAGAATTCACTTCTCAAATATTTCTAGCACAGCAAATAATCCACCTCCTAATAACTTATGGAATGAGTGGGCTCATGTCTATCAACCCCTAAACTACATCAAACCTGAATGGTATGACTCCATACTTTCACCTATTACAAAAACTGAATTATTAAATAACATATCAGATCTCCCTTTAAAAAAAGGTGCTGGACCATCATCAATCTCAAATGAAATGCTAAAACATCTGAATCCAGATACCATAGAAATTTTGCTTTCACTATTCAACAGATGCATATCCACATCTCATATTCCATCAGCTTGGAAACATGCCAATGTTTATCCCATACCAAAACCCAAAGAATGGCATTATCAACTCACACACACTCGTCCTATTACATTATTAGAATGCACTCGTAAATGCTTCTATAAAATCATCACAAATAGACTATCATCAACCATGTTAACTCATCCCATCCTAAAAGGAAATAATTTTGTTGGCTTGCCAGGGAAATCATGTCAAGAACCAATCCACATTATTAATGCAATTTCTGAGAATGCACGGGAATCTAAAAAAGAATGCTGGATTCTCTCACAAGATATGAGTAAAGCTTTTGACCTAATCAATAGAAGTATGTTAGATAAAGCCATGGCACATCTCCACTTCCCTCAAAAATTAAGGAAAATATTTCTCACTGCATTTCAAGATAGAACAAATCAAGTCATCACAGACTATGGGCTAACTGACCCTTATCAATTGAGTAATGGAGTTGATCAAGGTGAAGTTTTCTCTCCATTGATGTGGTGCATATATTATGATCCTTTACTATGTCATATCAATCCAAATCAAAATTAGGATACACCATCAATACTACTTTACCATCTAATTTAACAGTTAATCCATACACCACCAACACTGAATCTGTCACAATTACAAATTTTGCATACATGGATGATACCACATGGATTGCACCATCAAAAGAAAAAATGAACAAAATTCTATCAATTGCTTCTTCTTTCTACCAATTAAATGCCATTAAAGTAAATCCTGACAAATCAACATTGATGGTCATTAATTCATCAGAAAATGACAATGAAACAAATGCAACATTCAATAACATACCAATTCATTCCACTCCCACAAATACCCCAGTTAGAATTCTAGGAGTATGGTTCAATACTTCTGGCTCACGAAAACACCACATTTCCTCTTTCAAAAATACAATCAACACCTTCAAATCATTACTTTACCCCAAAAAATTAACAGGAGAACAAATCAAATATATAATAAATCATGTCCTTGCACCTAAACTAGAATACAGGTATCAAACCACTTTCTTCTCTAAAAAAGAATGTAAACAATTACTTTCCCCTATCACAAAACTATTTAAAAACAAACTAGGTCTATCTCGAGCATTTCCAAACTCTGCTATTTATCATCCACAATTTTACAATCTGTTTGACTATTGGCAACTACAATGTCAATCAATGATTACAAACTTCATTGTTCGTATTAATGATCCATCACTCATAGGTAAAATAACATATATGCAACTAAAACAACTTCAATCTACATTATGGATCCCTTTCTGCCCATTATTGATGACACAAGCACTTCCTACAAAATTAAACAACAAAAATATTACAGCTGCCTGTGTCACATTAATGATTTCTTCTCATATATCATGCCAACCTTCATCTTCTTTCATCTCCTCTTTTAACATCAAAGGTGGCAATGTCCCATTGATAAACATTATACAAAATCAATATTTCAAGATAATACCATTACTCAAAAAACACTCAATATTTTTCTTAGAACAATTACTTTCATGTGATTGTTCAACCTTTCTCCCAATAAACATGTTATTTCATAGACTACCTCTTAGTAAATTTCGTAGGCCTCCTAAATGGTACAATATACTTAAATCTCAATTATGTCAACCACAAACAAATTTTTTAAACAATATATCAAATTTACCTCACACCAATCCATTCATTTTCCCTTCCTTATACACACCTCCAACTGACATGAGACACAAACCTATAATAGCATCCATAATAAACTCTGATCTCATAATAGCCAAGCGTATATCATCTACATTGTACAGACATTATATATTGAATAATACAAATACAGATATTAATACAATTTCACCATGCACAGGATGTCAAAGATCCATCTACTCAACAAATGCACCATGCACCATTACAAATATCTCAAACCAAATTTACCTTGCTTGCAAAAAATTACCATCATCAACATACCAACTTAGAATAAATATATCAGATATGAGATATCTAATACAGCATATCAATAATACACCACCTGTCACAATTGATAATAATATATCCTTAAATGTATCACACTTAATAAATCACCAACTTATACAATCCACATTCACCTCCTCACCAATACAAAATATACTATTATCATATGCCAACAACAACCATTCCTCTCAATCATTGACATTCTACACTGATGGATCTTTATCAAAATTTGGTCAACAAGATATTAAATTATCTTGTGCCTGGATTCAACTAAAAAACGAAAATGTCAAACACTCTTTTTCTTGTTCATTGACATCCTTTCCCTCTTCAACAAGAGCAGAATTAATGGCAATTATGACTGCTCTTATAACTTGTCCACAATACTGTTTGGTGTCAATTTATACAGACAATCAATCATCTATCCAACTACTTGACAACAACATCACACCTAACACTACTCGCAATAAATTTAAAATCAAAAATTACTCTATAATATCCTCAATCCACCACATAAAAAAATCATTATCATTAAAAATATTCTTTCATAAAATTAAATCACATTCAGGCAATAAATATAATGATTTAGTTGATAACATAGCTAAATCAGCTTTGTCTGAAATACTCCACATAAATCCTTCTTCTATCAAACTCAATTCTCCAATCATATTCAATCAACAATATATTGATTATCCTCTACGTTCTTTCATAAAATTAAATTCAAACTCACAAGCAATAATTAAATGGCAAACACAACCTACCTTGGTAAAGCAAATTCCATCAAATACATCTATCAATTGGTCATATACAGAATTTTGTCTAAAATTCTCCCATTACTCAATGTTCACTGAAAATAATTCACACTTTTACCATGGCTCATTATACTCATTCAAGCTTGAAATTCTCCATAACACATTACCTACAATAAAAAATTTAATACGCAACTATCCAAGACTACTCCCACCCAATCTTAATTGTCTCTATTGTAATCAATCACCTGAAAATACTACACACCTATTTTCTTGTCAAGCTAATTCTAATTTGGACACAATTCCATGGCTAATAATCCAACAATCAATAATCTCTGAAATCTCAAATTGGTATAGATCCTCCAAAATCACACAAATTAAACAACTATTACAACCTCTATTCCAATCTAACTTCAATCATACTTCACATGTAATACTTGCAGCTGGATTAATTCCATCATCTCTGATTAACTCCATATATCCAATATTTACTTCCCACAAAAAAACTTCAATCATCATTCACATCATCTCCTACAATCTAAT